TTGTTATTGGAGTGTTAGCACATGACACAAAACAACTTTAAGAGGCGCTAAAGCAGCGACCGCAACATTAGTTCAGGGGTGGATCCAGATTTTAAATTTTCAGAATAGGTTAGCAAGTAGCACATGATATTGATATGCGAGTGGACGTTAAGGAAGCGGTCCCTCAGGGAGGCTTAAACTGTATTATACAAGGGAAGAGTTAATTAACACTCTCCCCTGATTAAACAAAATAATACTTTACTAAATTACAGTGTTTTCTTTCCTACCTCGATATGGGTCACCAGAGAGTTACTTGATTGTAAAAAATGCTTTTTATTTCTACTTAAATTATTACAACATTCGAGATTTTATGACACAGTGTGCGCGCAGGGTTTAAAATAGGATCACCCATTACTCTCTAAATAATAAAAGGAGGATGGCTTACATTTCATATATAATATTTTTTCACATTACAATTACTAGTATATCGGGATATTTTTTTTTAAATTTTGGTTAATTTGAGGGTGGGGTTCAGGACCGTCTTTACCCCTTGCTGCGCCATGCACTGTTTAGGAAACTATTTGAACAAAATGTGATGGAGTGTGAACTAGCAATATCAGTAGGCCTACATCCACACCTCTGCGCAGTAAATTTAGACATTGGTAAATACTACCGTACTCTCTAACTGTAAGAGAGTGCCCCTGAACTCACTCCAATAGTGTAAAATATTAATAGTAAAATTTCATACTGTCACTTTATTTAGAGATTATTTTTCTATTTTACAAATAGTAAACTATGAAGATTAATTCTCAATCTTGTGCATTTAGATAGGAAACTTAAATAAAATATATGTAGTTAGGTAATGAATTAAGATTAAAAAAAAAGTCACTTACGTCACAGAATGTAGCGTTAATGTAATCATTTCCGTTGGCGCATGGTGTCATCAAGAGAGGACGAGCACTATTTACTTTTATAAAATAAATCAAGATACAAGTTTAAACTATATTGAATGACTAAACTTTTAACTGTCTTTTTGAATATATATATATATATATTTTTTACATGCTTTAATGTATATATATATTATATATATATATTATATATATATATATATATATATATATATACCCACGCACACCCATATTATATTGAGGGCTCTTAATGATCAGTTCCTGCAGGAACTTGATAAGTCACCCTCTTAAAAAATGGTAATGATAAACGAATGCATGAATGAATGAATGAATTAATCAATCAATCAATGAGTGCATGAATGAAGTGATAAATGAATAAATGAGTACATAAATAAATGAATGAGTACATAAATAAATGAATGAATAAATAAATCATGATATTAATGAATAAATAAATAAAAATCAATAGACAAAATATCCTATAATTAATTTATTATAATAGTTTTAAAACAATATAAGTCAATGTAATAGAAATTCAATTTGCTTATTAATAAACGAAAACGTCAGCAAAAATTACGTGGTAATGAATGAATAAATGAATACATAAATGAATGAATGAATGAATGAATCATTATATTAATGAATAAATAAATAAAAATCAATCCACAAAAAATCCTGTAAGTAATTCTTATAATACTATTAAAATACTATAAATCAATGTAATAGAAATTCAATTTGCTTTATTAATAAACGAAAACGTCAGCAAAACTTACGTGGTAAGACATCATTGGAACGATTTTTCACTTTGTTGTCCGGAAGTCTAGCATGCGATGTACGGTCATCATCAGTAGAGTGAGAATATATACTGTTTAAAGTCTATAAATAAAAAAATAATATAATTACTGATTAACATTTTCTTTCATATTTCAATAATTGTATAAGTTTAAGG